AAATCTGAATTATGGTACTGAAAGTGAAAGTAGTCAAACTGAGTTTTTAATAAACCAAAATACAGTTTCAAAGCAAATTAATTCAGATACAAAACGTTTGATTCAGTTTCAATTTAGTAAAATTAATTTTCAAACCAATGCATTCAATTTCAAATTCTGCACATTCAGATTCAGTTCCTGCTGGCACAAGATTAATCCCGTAGATGTTGCTTCTTATAACGTAAGAACTGTTCAGGGAATATTCCTGTTCTTCTAAAACTACACCTGCAGCCATGAATGCAGTTTTAATCAACGTTCCTCCTCCTGTGTGGTTCTTTTGGGCTGCAGTGCTGCTGTGCCCGCGGGTCTGGACGTCTCTGGAGAACGGCCGGGTGACGGCGAGGCCTCTGGGCCCGCCGGTGGAAGGGACGGTCCTCCATTACACCTGCAACGCCGGCTTCATCCTGGAGGGCCGGAACATCAGCCACTGCACCAAGCTGGGGAAGTGGGACGCTCCCAAGCCCACCTGCCTCTGTGAGTGTCCGAAACCTTCAGCTGAGAAACTAGATTCATTAAACTCCTCGTCCACTAGGGGCGCACCAAGAAATCCATTCACATCAGAACCGTGATTCTCATTGACAAAGAGTCACAATCAATTTAAAAAATAATAAATAAAGCCAATCCAGTGGCTGTCATCCTGTTTTATAACTCTGTGGGATGTTCTGACGTCACCTGGCAGCTGGTATGCACACACAGAGAGGTTCAACAGGCCTCGTCTTCACTGACGGCAAAGATTTGGGCTCATTGTGGTTTATACTGAATCAGTGAGTTTGACCTGAGCTTTACTGTGTGTGAGGTTTGCAAAATGAAGATGAAACACTTTAGGAATTTGACAAATGAGCTCACATTATCAGTTTTTAATGAAAAATCCATTTTGAATCGAATCGTGAGAAAGTGAAAGATTCCCACCCCATCATCCACACCTTGTTTAGGTTTTCTTTCCAAACAACCAGACTTTATTATAGTGGTTTTTATGAGTCTGATTCTAATTTTACAGTTATTTAATTTTATCTGCTTCAGGTGTTTCATTTCAGCTGAAATATATGGTGTGGTATGAGGGTCAAAATTAAGACTATTGCTCAACCAGCGGTTACATCCTTGTAGCAGGAGGATATACAGCGGGTAAAATAAGTATTGAACACGTCACCATTTTTCTCAGTAAATATATTACTAGAGGTGCTAATGAC